TGGTAATGGCAACAATGGGATTACACAATTTTATCAAAATTTCAAATTTCTCAGATGCAGATTTTGCAGAAGTAATGACAGAGACGGGAAGAAATAACACAAATGGAGAACCTGTTTCAGCTGAAATGGAAGCATCAGAAATAGCAGATGGAGAATATATGACGCAAATAAGAGACAATATCGCAAATATGTATTGGCAAAATCAATAGTTTTAAATAATTTTATTTTTTGGCATTGTATTGTACTTAAATTTTTTGAATTAAATAGTTTACTTTATTTTTCCAACAAAATAGTTTTTAAAAATTTTAAAGTAAATTTTTACATTTAAATAATATTTGTGTGTATGGTTATTAAATTAAAAAAAATCATTTTTTATAGATAAATATTAAACTATAATATAGTAATTTATGTATCCCAAACCGCTGTTTGCACTTTTCACCATTCAAAACTTTATTTTTGTACCGCATGTTGTTTTTTTACCATTCAAACATTATTCCGAACCGCATTTGAACTATACCGCACCTCTTAAACCGCTATTTTCCGTACCGCACTTAAACCGCACTGCATCTCTTAAACCGCTTGTCCCGCACCGCCTAAACCGCTGTCACCATTCGAAGCCTTATTATGAGCATGAGGTTTAACTAACTTAACCACGGTTAAAATTTAACCATAGACTATGGTTTAATAACCACCGTTTTTCAGCTTAAGTTAGACGAATCTATGACTCATGAGTGATGACGTGGACGAAGGTATTTATATAGTCATTAACATTTAGTTAGTCATCATGAAATTTAATATGATAATATTTTCAAATTATTGATTTTTAAAATGCAGAAAGCAAAAATCACTGTAAATAACAAAAGAAAAAGAGTATATATCTTACCCTAATATTTTTAAATACTTATCTTTGATGAATTTTTTATCTCTTTTCTAAAATATTTATCTTTGATGAATTCTTTATCTTTTTTTTCTAAAATATTAACGTACTCGGGTAAAGTTAATAAAAAAAAATTGTGAACTCATTGAGGTGAATTAAATAACGGTATGATTTGCTTCATTTTACGACACGTGGAAAGATGGACATATCGGATGGCTTGAAGCTGTACGATTACTTTGTATTGATCTATAAAGTACGTAAGACTTGAAAAAACCAACTTGATTTTAGGCTCTTGAATTTCTTAAGCTTAGCAAATTACACTAATCGGTTTAGTTGATACCGATTTACCTTTAATACGTCTTACATAAATTGTTTACATTTCTTTGTCTTTTGTCTACATGAAGTTATTCTAAATCAAGTTATCAACATTTATATCACCAATGTTTAAACAAATTAAGGTTCCAAACTTCCAATCAAAGAAACAACACTAGTACAGTAGTAGTACTATTCGTGACAAGAGACTAAAACAATACAAATTCAAAAGATAGAATGAAAATATTATTGATGCATAAACTTATATAATTATACAGAATATGATTGATAGTTCTCATCCAACGATCTCCGCCATGAACAAGCTAGAGAATTAAGAGAGATTTAACAGAAGAAACAGTCCTTCACTGAGGTAGAAGAAACCCGAAAGCAATGAAGAAAAGGACTCAGCCTTACAACCGCTACACAGTTAACAGAAAGCCACATGCAAAGAAGAGCGACCATCACAAGTTTCAAGGAGATTCTTGAGTGCTTCCCGACTTGAACTAACGCTGCCGCGAGAGCAAACGGAAATGCTAGATTACAGAACAACCAGAAACTCTTTGTTGCTACTTGTATGACGACTTGAAACTCAGCTTCTGTTGTTCCTGGTTTGATTGCATATCGAAGGGTTTCCTTTACCGACATTTGAGTCGAGCTTTGCATTGAAGGATAAAGATATCGTCTGGTTAGTTTCATCAATTGCTTCTTCATTCTTTTTCACGTTATATCTTGTAAAGCATTTACATTTTAGCTCGATTTGTTTCTTGGGTGCGTTCAGAGGAAGAAGAAATATTTGTTGGAGATTGTCGGGGAAAATAGTGAGGAAAATGTTAAGAACGTGATTGAGTTTGAGGAGAGGCCTCTGATTCTTCCTGGTGAAATACTTGTTGGTAATAAGGAATTCCAGAAGGAAATTGGAGGATTTGAAAGTGATTCCAACGAAGATGAGTTCGAAGAGAAAGCGGAAGAGTTTGTGTCGGAGAAGAAGACTTCAAAGAAACATAAAGCTTCAAGCAAAAGCCCAAACTGTTGTTATGAAAAAGTGAGAAGTAAAGGCATCGAGCCGAATGTTTCCCCTTACAGTTCTTGAATGGACGGTCTTTGCAAAGATGGACTACCTTTGCAAGCCATGGAATTATTTGAGATGATGATGGCTAGAGGTTCCATGCCAAACATGGTAACGTAGCACTTTCATCAATGGTCTCTGTAAGGAGCAGAAGATAGAATGAATCTTCAGGGTTTGGAACCTGATGCTGGATTATATGGGAAAATAATCAGTGGATTCTGTGCTGTTAGGATGTTCCGTGAGGCTGTCAATTTCCTCGACGAGATGATTCTTGGAGGAATAACTCCAAATCGTTTAACTTGGAACATCCATGTTAAGGCAAGTAATCGTCTTTGTACAAGTTATCCCGGTCGCACATTAACTCTTTATCTAAGCGTGAGGACAGCTCAATGTTTAGTCCATTTCTTGATAATTTTTTACTTCCAGAAAGGTTTTATATGTTCATTGTTCAACTAAAAACGAGATTTACAGCTTATGCAAACCAAAATTGGTCGATATCTTATTTTCTTCTTTTACTTTACTCTTTTACTCTCATCAACCGCAAATTATTATCAAAGAACTTCCTCTTTTTGGAAGATTAAAAATTGTTCTACATTCAAACACTACAATATATAGTAATATCGTCACATGAAAGTGAAAGTTCATTACCTTCTCATAGTTGTTTAAACATTTAATAATATCTATGTAAGTTCTAATTAATCATATTATTTTTATTTGACAGGAAACTTTCAATTCCACATCGATACTGTCGGATGTTAAAAAAAAAAAAGCAGTTACATTTTTTTAATGGTTTTTTTTTGGTCACATAATAGTTTTTAATATTGTAAATAATATTTTTTTTTTGTCGGCCAAATTCATTAGTACAGAAACCCGTTAAGGGTAATGTATGTGATGTTTTACAAAGCCCAATCTTCACCAATTACATCATTAATCAGTAAATAAAATAAAGATAAGAACATCGATGCCACGTGTTAACACGTGAAGTGAAGAAGATGTTGACGATGACAACGCTGGCCGATCCACAATCTACCACAGCTTCGCCGCCGGGACTTCAACAGAACACCACAAAGAAAACTTCTACAACATATGTCAGCCTCTCTCACCCAAAATTTCTAAGCAATCACTTTGATTAAGCCCAAAGATCCACATTTGAAGGAAAGCTTCACCAAATACCTAACTTGAAGGCCCATACAAAGGTTGATGGTTGATGAAGATATTACTCCCTCACAAAAGTCGAAAATCAAGCTTAGTGAAGAAACGCAGAGAACTCTGGAGATAAACGACCGTTTTTAAACCTGAAATACATGTAGAAGGTAAAAGATAATTCGGACAAAGCCAAACAATGATCCGGAACAAAGCCGGAGCAAAATCGAACATAGTCGGAGAAAGGCCGATTAAAACTAAATCGGAAACGAAATTCCGACAAGGACTAAGAAACTAAGATACCCGAAACAATCGATTCTCAACAAACTTCTAATCCCTAAAAATCCAAATTTCCAATAACACAACTCTAGATTGACTATAAAATCAGATCTAGAATTGATACAAACTTGGTTGATGTTGACCAGAAAATTAGAAAAAGAAGAGAAATTAAGGGGTTTATTTTGTAGAGAGATAATTTACATAGGCACCGTACCGGCAAAAAAGAGATTGCCGATCACCGGCCACCAAAAACCAGATATGATCGCAAGGAGATTCT